TAAGCTATCAATATTTACAAAGATGCTCCGTCAGTGGAACAGCTAAGGGGAAGGGAAAAATCAAAGCAGGACAGACGTTGAAGCGGTCAAAAGTCACTACAAAAAAAGGGTCAGCAGTTTCTTCTCAACCAGAAGGACCTAGAAGGGGAAGTGAATTCGATGAAATGGTTGATAAATGCTTGAGTGCAACTTCCCCAATCAGATTCTTGAAGGCTAAAGAAAAGGCGAGGGAAGCTGAGAGAGAGAAAATGGGACTCATAAGCAAAGCCCGCGAGCAAGAGATTCAGAAACTGAAGAAGAAAGGAGAGGATTTTGATTCACCAATGATAATTGGAACTCCAGGCACGGATTTAATCACTTTAGGTGTGGTCGATGCAGATAAAATTCCAAAGTATGAGCTGACTGTTGAGGATGGGCGGAGGCTTGCAAAAGAGTATAGTAGAATTTTGATGAGGAAGCACAGAGCGAGGCAGCGGAGTCGACACTCTTGAGGTTGAAGAAGGAAGCAATTGAGGCATTGCCCGAGAACATGAAGGCTGCTGCTTTGGTACCGAATTTGACTCCTTTTCCCATGAACAGATTTATGGCAACATTGACGCCACCAATTGAAGGCTATATTGAGAAGATTAACGAGGCAGCTAGGAAGAGTGCTGGGAAAGAGAAGCTCAGATAATGAGAGGTAAGGATTTCTATTTAACTTTCTTTATGCATTGAGTCATTTTCTCATAATGGATATCCTATTTGTGTCAAATTCAATTGCTTTAGACTATGGTACCAGAATATGGATACATCATTAGATTTTCCCATTTTAACACTGGTTTATTGAATGTAGTATGTCAGTCAGATCCTAAATTTATGGCATTATTTCATTAGTTAATGGTATTGTGCTCATTGATACGCTGAGACACGATTGAGTAACAATTTTCTATGTGATTTGAAGCCTAACTCTGTCATTTTTCTCTTTGCAGCGTGCATGTAAGCCATGCTAACTATAGTATCTCGAACTATTTTATTCTTTTTTATGGTATGACATAGAAACTGCCAAATTTAGAAGATACATGGACTACAACAAGACAAACCATAAAGTCTCATTTGGGTCTAAGTTATTAAGGGCCTGTTCGGTAGTGATAATGAGAATTGATTTTTTGACCGTTAAAGAGAAAAGTGGATCCCACCTATGAGTGAAGAAGTAAAAAATGACGGCTGGAATAGTGAAACAACGGTAAAAAAATTGATTTTTTGGAGTTGAAAAATTACTACCAAACGGGGGCTAAATGTGGTGTGTAAATCTGCAATTTAAAATTCATTTAGTGCTAGCCCAAGTGCCGAGCAGACTTGAAGCTCATACTTGACTTGATAATGTTCGAAGTTGAGCATGTAGGTTCTTCCTCAGTCGTTTTGAGCCCCGAGTTTGTACCTAAATTAAAAGCTTTACCAAGGATAGGCTTGGATTCAATCAGGTTTATCAGTGTTTTGGCATGAGGTGCATACCTTAAGGCATACTTGAGGGCCAGGCTCTAATCAGGATCTCATAGCGCAAGCTTTGATTCCCATTTTGCAAGGAGTAAGCCTTGAGGGCACTTTATCACTCATGATCCAAGGCTGTCGAGTTGTGCACTCCTTAGTTGCTAATTTTTACTCCAAAGACGTGGCACTAAATTTCAGTGTAGTGATTTATAAGCCCTCTCAGGATATTTCTCTGTTGCTTCAATTAGATGCAATGGGTGTAAACCTATTTTTTATGTAGAGGGCTAATATTATTAGCATTTCTTTGTGAATTGACAAATTAGGAACATGAGTTAGGAAATTGCTAGTGGTAGTGTCTGCCAGTTATGTCCATTTTTGTGGTAGTTCTGCGCATGGTAGCTCCTGTGCAACACCAGAAAATCTTCACACTGCTATTAATTGATTTGTGATATGATGATATTGCAAACCACTTAGAAGTCCTGATTGAGAAGTGCCAGTGACTGCTTGAAATATGCATATGCGCAATATGACTTTATACTAATCATCCATATTGGTCTAGTAACTTTATGTATCGGAAGTCAATTTTATAGATATAGTAGTTGTTTATTATACTATTAGAGCCAATTCCTTTTTGTAAGAGTCCAACAAAATCTCTAAATTTAAAATTTAAAAATAGTGTGTGGATTTGAGTCCATAAGTGTAGAGAGCAGTGTTCTGAAAACCGCTCCTAGGCGCCTCGTGGATGAAATGCCACGCCTTGATAGTTAGTGTGAAACTGATAGTTGATCACTTAATGTACGACTAGGTGCCTAGGCACGCGTTATTAATTTTTTCTATTTTTCAAATTATTTTAAGAGTCTTTTATTTGATGTTAATTTATTTATTTTTTTAAATGTCTTTTGTTTACATTAGTTTCAAGTTTTTAAACGATTTTATCTTAACAAAAGTAAAGAATGACTTTATTCGATAAAGAGTTGGATAAGATTTAAGCTACTGTGCTATTTATATTATGTAATTATAATTTTGAGACTTAACCTTTCGTTGAAAACTTCAAAAGTATGTATAAAGTTTCTATAAATCTATTAAGTAGGTACTTATAAAAAAAAAAAAAAAAAAAAAAAAAAAAAAAAAAAAAATTCTGTTAAGTAGCAGCCTGTTTGGGAGGAATTTTTTACCGTAAAAAATTGATTTTTTAACCTTTATTTCACTTTGTCAGCCGTAATTTTTGACTTCTTCTCTCACAGGTGGACCACACTTTTCTTTTAATGGTCAAAAAATCAATTTTCAGAATCCCTTCCAAACGGGGTCTAGGACTTATTTGATTGAAATGTAAAACTATAAAAATTAGTCTAGCTTTTGCATTTTGAAAACTTGAAAATTGTATAATTAAATTAATTATAGGAATTATTAAGTAAATATAATAATTTATAATTTTAGATGTTTGTTATGTATTATTTTAATTATTGAATGATTTTTAGAAGGATTAAAAATTTTAAATAATATGAAAAATTAGAAAACACTTTTTTCTACCTACGTTCGTGAATCTTGAGGTTTGACCCCATGACTAGTCATAGCGGACCCCATGCCTAGTCATACTTTACGCTTTTTAAAACACTTGTAGAGAGCCAAACCTGCTCTTTTTATATAATAATTTTGTTGCTTTTGTTAATTATTTCATGACTTTCTATATACTTATTTTAAAATAAAGGATAAATGACAGTATAAAAAGGGAAGCAAGTAAAAAAGGGAAGGAAAGTGTTTTGAGTCATAATTGCTTATGGAAAAAAATCATGAAACAAACACAGTGTTGCTAAGAGCACGTTAAAGAATATTTTTAAATAAAGAACAGGCTGAAGAACTGGACATATTTTGTTATTTATTTTACTTTTTTCATCTTTTCTTATCATTTTCCTTCTATTTTCCTTTATAATATAAAGAAAAGAGGTGCATAGAAAGTTGAAAATAAAAAAGGCATTAGAAATATTATTTATAGAGTTTGTTGGACTTTTCTAGTGAAGGCTGACTCTCTAGAATAAAGAATATGGAGCTAGTAAAGAGCTTTATGGGAGATGCTCTATGAAACTATGATCACCCATTTATGAATAATAATATCTTGAGCAATGTGTTAGACATGTGGAGCTGAAAGCATTGCTGATCCTACTCGTTCGATGCTTGAAGACGAGTAGTGTTGATGTGGGGAAGCATGAATGGAAATGTAAAAACACGGAATTCATAAACAAACTTCTAGTTTTTGTCGATTCACTGACAAATAGACATAAAAAACACTCGAGTCACATGGTATATGAGAATATGGACTCGTTGATTGACGTGGAATACCATTCCAAGGTTTGGAAAACAATTGAGATAGAGTCAAAATTATTTTTATTCCACAAGCGTCCATCTCATAAGACAATCAAAGCTCAAAATTCCTGTTCCTATATACATGGCATAAGTGAAATCTAGGATCCCACGTTGGAGCAAGTTTGTTAGAAATGCTTGGACCTCCGGCTCTCTTGTTGTACTTATTGACATGATGACATTGAATTGTAGTTATCATACTGACATCTAGACTTTTATAGCATTATACTGACATGCAGTGCGGACCCCAAAGGTAGATTTTCTATGATAATTTTTGTCTCTCGATTGTTTTTTTGTGCAAAGAACATGATTAATTACAGTCTTGACGATCGTATGAAGTTTAGTTTATTGATGAAGTTCGATAGTGGCAATGCAGATTATCTCCTTTTCTGGTGGTGCTTTGTGCCTCTGAAGAACTTGTAATCTTTCCTGGGTAGTGAGATCCAATCTCGTTCTTTGACTTAACACTTCAAGCTGAGACGGGCTAATTAAACTCAGTTTTACTGAATAATGTTTTCAGCTCTGTAGAATGCTTCTGCCCAGATTTATATTCTTCAGGTTGGTTTGATGACCATCGCTTGTGCATTTGCTTAATCTTCTGCTATAAATTATTTAACCAGAAAGTTTCCCAAGCAGTATCAGACTGCATTAGAAATTAATTTATTTTCTGTTCTTTAATTTAATGATGTCTTGTGTAGTTGAAATCGCCTTAGCTAGTGTATATTCATGCGTGTGTTAGCATCACGAGACATGGTTCTAGTTCAACGAAGTTTATTTGGAAGGACGTGCTTTGGCTAATTTGTTAGACATCTCAAGTTAACCGTGTCATTGAGCGGTAAACAATTATCCCGCTTACCACGATACCACTAGGGACCAGTGCCGATTGTCCTAATGATAGCACGTCAATCCTGTGCCGCTTCAAGGTCAGTCGGCCCATAATGATTGCTGTGATATTAGACTTTAATGAAGCCACAGGCCTTCGTGCAAATGCTATTTATCGATATTTTCTAACAATCTGCTGCAAAGGCCAATGAGTTACCAAATTCTCACTAGTCAAGACAGCAACCTTTCTAATTCTATTCCCCCAGTCACCACCATGTTTTACAAAGCCAGGAACACCAAATGCAAGCTGACACACAAAAGTTTCCTATAGTCGACAATTCAAAAAACTAAACTTGGATAAAAAGAAAGTAACTTCATATTATTGCATCCATGTCACATAAATGGTCAAGCATAAAAACCCACAAAAGAATTCATAACAACACTTAAAAAGTTGCACACGATATGTATATCCCTCCTGCTTCTGTATTCGAATATTTAATATCGAAAGGTATTATAAATTGGAAAGGCAACAAACTAGATTTTATCAATGTCTTCGTCCTCAAACTCGATGTAATCATCACCACCACCATCGTCCTCCTCATCAAGTCCACCGGCAATACCTTCATTAAGCCTCGTGCTCTCTGGCAGCTCACCATAGGCCTTCAACAACCGGGCTTCATCAGGCATGTACTTCAGGATTACATCAGCCTTATCGTCCTATGGTAATCAAAGAGGCGGTTAAATGGAGCACAATACTCAATTCACGCATAACGTAACATACAATCCTCAAAAATTAGATTCAGACAAGATGCAATATCATAAATTTTGACAAAAACATAGTTGAAATTCAATCAAGGAAACACAAGCTGAGATATTCAGCCACTTCCTTCCAACATTTACTTTTATGTGCATAAAGTTTCTCAGGTATCCCTTGATCGTTGACGAATTTACTAAAAAGAATAGTTGGAGCATATAAAATAAAAAAATAAAATCACAAACTTTCGAAATCTGAAAACTATTACTTTTTTTTTACCTTTTTTTTTTTAACCTTAAAATATTATTGGGTCTGGCTGTCTGCAAATTCATATAATATTACTTTTGTTAATTCATTTTGCAAAATGGATAAAAAAAGGTTGGAAAACATACTTTTGAACTCAGTAAACAATAATCAAAAGATTGATAAAGATGAAAGATTCCAATAAGCATAGAGCATTTATACGATTTAAAGAGAGGAATTTCCTGCTACAACTTCAATTGTTAAGCTCTAGAGAAGTAAAAAACTCAATTTAAAACTGCAAAAAGAATTACAAATATATATAATAACAAAAATTAAACAACAAATTAAAAAGAAACTAATGGAAAACAACAAACAAGCAGCTAAAATATTTCCCCCTATAACCACCAACTGGTCGATAAAAGTCATCAAACACTACCCATGAAGCCAAAATAAAATTAATCTAAGATCTCAATTTCTAAAAATAGAAATATGAAAACAATTATTCACACAATAAGTCCAATAAAGAGATAGTTATAAATAAATTACTACCTGGTAGTCACGGAGACCGACAAGTATGATATCACCGGCAGCGATCCAGACCTTTTTATGCATTTTACCACGTATATGGCAGAGACGCTTGATGCCATCGATGCACATGGCTTCACAGCGGCCATTTCCCAACATCCTCAATACCTGAGCGTATTCCTGCCCATCTTCTTTGAATACGAGTTCTCGCTTCTCATCATCGGCCTCGTTCTTCCCTCTCTTGCGATTCTTACCTCCCTTACCCTTGTTCTTCGGCATCTCGTATGAACCCTAGATCCTACGGCTCTGGTTTCACTTCGCTTGCGTATGATGATCGAGAGAGTTCAGACACGTGCATTTCACCTTTTATAGCTTCGGATTTACGTGATTTGTACGGCTTTGGATTTATGGGCTCAATTGGGCCTTCGTGGACCATTTTAACC